GAGCACAGATAGCCCTTGTGTAGCTTTGTGCATAATTAAAAACAAACAAACCATCGTTGGAACGTAGTATTACCAAAACGCACTAGCATTTCTATATATTAAAAGTTGTTAATCTAACTGATTTTTACCAATAATCGTTCTATGAATATGCCACGAATTTATTTTATGAATGATCTTAATTTTGATTGGCTCACAAAATAATTTACCCATGTCTGCTTGCCTCGACTGCACTTTTCTGCCACTTTGTTGGTCAAGCTTCATTTCGCAGAACTTATTTATTTCAGTTAGCTATTAAATGTGAGGTTAGGGTATACTATGGGATTGGGGTGGTAATACTTGCCCTATCATTTTTGATAGGCCATACGCCAGTTAATAAAAGTAGGTTGTGTTTGTTCACTTGTGTCACGCTACTAAACAAAACATAATCTAATGTTTGTAAGAATCAACGAATTTTCGATTGAGGAGTAGTTTTAATTCTGCAAACAAATTCCTAGAACACATAAAAAGAAGAGCTTTCGTTGTTCATCTATGTTACTATAACTTTCATGCATTATATATTTATATAACAATCGTCGTGGGAAAACTCAGAAGTCTGTTACACAAAGCCTGCCCACTACTATAGAAAAGAAGAAGCCAATCGGAACGGAAAAATTTCATTAATGAATGTTTGGGGAAAGATCTTATGTCATTCGATATTACTCACCTCTATACATATTCTGTGAAAGAATTCTTAAAAAGCGCCATCTTTGTTGTTGTACTTTTATGTATTATACATCTTATCTACAAGAGCAAAATATAAAGTGAGAAGATACTGAGAGTAAATTATTATCAACATCTTGCATCTGAAAGAACCTCCGGGTTTAATTACAAGTGTTAGTTAAGGTGTCCGCAAGAATGGTGTGCGCTGCAATGGCGGCTGGCAGTGAATATTGAGGAGAGCCAGGTGATATTTTAACTACACCCTCAAAAATAGAGAACAGGTGTCTCGATTTATTTATACGTGAATTCCTAATTTCGAGTTGTCCACCTTTCACAGCTGCAAACACGTTGGTAACGTCGTCGTGCCAGACAAGGCCTAATTATTTTCCGAACAACAAAACAACGAAATAACCTTAATATCAAGAAAAAATCGTCGCATTTTTTACCATGTTACTACACATCATTTAATGAAACTCACTCTTAATCGCTTGTATCCTTAAATCACCGAATGATTACAGAACCACTAAATTTGTACCAGCCCTTGATCTCCGTATCTTTGTGTGCAAACTTCCTTTAAATTATTTTCTTGGTTATTTTTAAAACCTAGATTCTGATTAGCTACATTAACTCAGCGACCGGCCTCAATTTTTTTTATTAAAGTCGCCAAGAAGTTCCAGTTCCTCTTAGTTGTTTCCGTAGCAATACAGAGAAATTGTACAGATAATGAAAGAGCTGAGAGACAAAACTTTTCTGTGTTTCATGCCGCGAGATATCACCTCGATGAAGATTGTTGAGCGTTTTGCTGAAAAAAACTATGCAACTTTTCAATAACTTTACGCCCAAAACAAAGAAAATATAAGTACTAATATGAACAATATTAATACTTATATTTTCAACATCTTTGAGAAGGCATATTCTCTCTTTCCTCCTCTGACGAGCAGCCACTGGTATGTTGTTATCGTAAAGAAAATAACTTATTAATAAAAAAAGAGGAGTACGCGGAAACTGATGTATTTATTCGATTGAGTAGGATAGAGTTTAGCTATTGAGCTCAGTGTTCCTGTAACAAAAGAATTTTAAACATTTACCGATAAGACCATTTATAATATTGCAACTGTATTGAGTAGGATAATTGTTTGTTTGTTTTTGATTATGCACAAAGCTACAGAAGGGTTATCTGTGCTCTGCCCCCTACGGGTATCGAAACCCGGTTTCTAGCGTTATAAGTCCGCAGACATACCGTTGCGCCACTGGGGGACAAGTAGGATAAAGCTTAGCTATTGAGCTCAGTGTTTCTGTAACAAAAGAATTTTAAACAGTTACCGATAAGACCATTTATAATATTGCAACTGTATTGATGTTGGTTTAAACTCCGCAGCAACTTCAACAATGTAATAATTTACGTAAACTTACACATAGACCATAAGTATAATGTAGAAAATATAAGTGTAAAGGTGGAAAGCCTGATATAAGATGGAGAGACCATAGAGCAAATTATAAGTTTTACTTACCTTGGAAGCAAAATATACAGAGATGAAGATAGCCGTAAAGAAGTGATCACCAGAATGCTTATGCCGCATTTGGAAGACTCAGAATACTGCTCAACAATAGAAATATGAACATCAAAATGAGAGTAAGATTCTATAATTGTCTTGGCGTGCCTGTCCTGCTGTATGGTTACGAAACATGGTAGACGTACAGAAAAGACGAAAAAGGTTAAATGCATTCAATATGGAAGGCCTGCGTCGAATATTGAAATTATCATGGAAGGATAACTGTGAAGTAAATGATGGATTGGAAGGTTGAAGATGGAAGTAGAAAGAGAGGACGACCACAGCTCACGTGGAAAAAAAATGTATCAAGAAAGACATCAGCGAAAGAACTATCACATGGGAAGAAATGGAAAAGATGGCGCTCGATGGAAGAAAGTATTGTCAATGGACAGCTCAGTGTGTCAGAAGACACAGAATGGACTAAGAACTAAGATACGTGTAAAGTAATCTAATACTTGAATTATATGTTAAGTTGTGGAATTGTATTTTATTTGTGTATGATTGGATATAGTCTTAATTTTTTAGAGGGCAGTATATTACTCCACATTTTCTCAATACCTTTTAAATATTTGACGACATTGTTACATGCAATGTATATTAAAATCCATCGCTTTTCAATCTCTTCAAACATTATAAATTTTTGAAATTAACTTCTAAAACAAAGAAAGCTATAAAAGCGTATTATTTAGATTTGTTGATATTTGTCGCACACCAATGTTGTTTTATTATTTAGGAACATCGAACAGTTAGAATAATTCTTTTCAAATTGTTATATGTATTGTATTTAATTATGATAAGAAACATTTTGGTTTCAATAATTATTTTTAAAATACCGTAAATATGATATATTCACAATGCAGTTGTAAAATTTCTTGAAATATATAGCTATGACATTTATTCATCACGTGGTACCATTTGCAAAATTTGAAAAAAAAAACCTTTCAGAAATCACAATCAAATCATTGGTTTTGAAAATTGTAGGATACTTATATAAATTATATACTATTACTAGTGTGTGCCCCCAGTGGCTTATTGGTACGTCTGCAGACTTACGACGCTAAAAATCGGGTTTCAATATTGTGATAGGTATAGCTCAAGAAAACCAACCAATCAACCAACTACTAGTGTATGTATGGTGAATAATTTAACAAGCTTGCTGAAAGACGTATGTAGCTGATCTTTATAACATACAATCTAATGAATCTGCTTTAAAACATCTGATTAAAAACTAGGTTTACCAACCACTGCTATAAAAACGATATCATATACCGATTGGAGGACTAGAATTATTTTTGAATTCTCTTGCATTTGGCTTTTTGGTGTGGGCAGCGCTTATGATTCCATTATGAGGCCCTTTTAAGATCATTTTTAGTTGTACACTATCTGGGTGTATCATATATATAATACATATCACGGCGTGTTTTAGTAGTCCCGATGAAAACATAGAATTATCCGAGATCGCATTTCATTTCTTCGAAAAATTAAAATACAAATGTCGAAGAATCAATCCCAAGTTCGATATCCAACTTTCTCTCAAACCTGAAAAACAAAAGCACTAGAAATAAACTAATCAAATAAGAACCAAAAAAAAAAGTTATCGACAAAGATCTTTGTTTTTGTGGCGGTCAACAAAGAAAAATCTGGAACTTTAGAAAGAACGCTAAAACAGAACAAATATTCCACTATATTAGCGACTGCCAGGTTAACTAAATAATTAACTGGGATCACTACCAAATCCTAAACACCAGTGAAGAGTAGCAACTAAGAACCAATAAATAATAACAATAATTATTACATCTAGATGCATTAACCAACTCTTAATCACAGAAAATGTCTGGAGGTCAGCAACGTTTGGGCTTCTCACTCAGAACGACTCGGACATGTATAAAACAAAAAGCAAACTACAGGCTTACTTAACAACACACGATATTTATGGTACTAAAATTACTTATGCAACACAACAGCAACGGGTTAATTTTCAGATAAAGAAAACGGGGAAGATGCTCAATTTCTGTTCAGAATTTTCATATAGACCTTTCAATCCTCTTGATTGGTTTTTGCCTATATTTTTTCGGGTTTATTTAAAGTTTCCATTAACCGTTTCATAAATCACAGTTTTCCTTTTTAACTCGACGTACTTCTATCTGCTTAACTTCTAACTAACTTTTTCAATTTTATTTTTAAATCTGATAAAGGTTTTACCTTAGTTTTTTAGCTTCATTTCGCATCACTTTTCAAGATTATCCTGCAATTTTTTTTTCATTTCTCTATTTTTTAATACTGTCAATAGTTTTCTTTTCACGGTCTTCCTATCAATATTAACACAGTTTTAACAGTCCGTTGCAGAACTTTATATCATTAACAGCGAGGATATCCACTTGATGAGAAAATACATTATAATATTTACAAATAAGAACGGGAGAGCTACCCCCTGATCCCGTCAGTGGCTTAAGGTCGGTATATCTTAGGGCTTATAACATTAAACATTTACACTTCAACACAGAGCAATATCTTCCTTAATCATCGACCATACTATTTTGGTAATCAAGCTAATCACGGAAATCATTGTCTATGCGAAGCTTGAGTGGAATCTTAATCCCCCGAAAATCTAATACTTGAATGCATATTCGACTAAGTAGCCTTTTTTGACTTTGATATCATGATTTAATTATGGAAAGCTATGTACAAATTTATCATTAGCTGCCATCCTTCTGTCAGTCAAGAATATGGTTCCAGTTTTATTCCTCGCACTATTCCATCGCTGTTCAAGAAATTATTTCAACCTTAAATGAATCCCACCTACAGGCAGGCTTATGGTGGTGACCGATTAGACAAGGAAAATTAAAAATAATGATAATTTCAACAAACACCCCCCAAGCTTAAAAGATACTACATCCTGGAGTTACCAGTGAGTCTTTCATTAAGTATAAAAACCATTCCAGTGACCTATTAATCCTAGTGTTACGAAATGTGTCAAAATCTCTGTCATCCGTTTCATACATGACATGTGTTCTTCAGATAAATCATCTTACTAAAAAAAATCAACATTTAACTTCTTCATCACTTTTGTTACCTTTTCTATATCACTCTGTACAACTGTACTCAAACAGGTCCATGTCAGCCGGTCTTTTTTTACACATTCAAACGAATACACCTCTCAACAAAACTGAAACAATTCTTTCCAAATGTCATAAGCCATGTTAGATTATTCTACACTCAAAAATGAGCTTATTTAACACCTCTAACCTAGACTTTTGCTCTTTCTGTCCCTCATTGGAAATCTTAAATATCTGTCCAGGTGAAAACCCGAAGTTTTTTCCCTCATTGATCATTCTTTTTTCTTCTGGTACGCCGCGTTTTTGTTTCTCCTTCAATACCCTGTAACTGTGTGAAGGTGGATTTACTTGTCCTTATACTAAACTATTCATCTCCTGAATTCATTTCTGTCCTCACGGACCTGTTCAAGTAAATGCTTTTTGTAAAGACCAGTTTTTCCTCTAAATTTTATATTATACTCTACTCACCTTGAAACATGCTTTCAGCGGAACCGAGATCTGTCGACTTGTTGGTCTTCCCTTGTTTCATAAGCTCACTTCTAGTTATCTTTTTACCATAGTACATATTTGTTTAATCTACAATGTTTGTTTTTTCATTCTATCGCTTGTGTTATCTTGCAGTAATACAATGAGCGTCCTTGCCACTACCATAAGTAACTGATTTGACATTTTATTTGTACCATTGTCCATCGTTCCACTTACCTGCACACTATAAAAGATATGAAACACGTTGTAAACGCCCTGAATCAACTCTTAAACACTGCTATTTTTCCATTTTTAACAACAGTAACCTGAAGAAAGCCTCAGTACTTCATTCGAAGCGCCGTTTGGCTTAAAACTCAAGACAGGAAAGACTCTTACAAATTAAAGTACTGCGATATAGATTATATAACTAATATTCGAATGAAACATGTTTTAATTTCTTGTTCACTCAAATATTTTGTTGCAATTATTTGTTAAACTAGTTAAAAAATGTAAGTTGTTAACTCAGTGACATCACCACTGTCATAAATAGTACTTATGAAATAGAGTGATAGGGATAGATGTTGTAATTTTCTATTTTTGTCAAGAAACTTTTTGTTGTGATATAAGGGATGAAGCGAAATCTCAAGACCATACAATAATAGATCCTTTCTATTTCAGTTGTACGCGTTAAAAGGAATGTAGTTTTTAAAGTTACAATATTAGCTAAAAATACAGGTATTGTCAAAAAGAGTGTTCAACCAAATATAAAATATTATATTAATCTTTTAAATCCAGGTTTTCACAATGACTACTGCCATTGAAGTTTATAGTTTTGTACTCTAATTTGTTTTATTAGTTATTTATTAGCTGCTATTTATAACAGCTGCACCTTTACTTTCAATCAGTTTTTTATTTTGGTTTTGTCCAATCAGATGACCCTGTCTACAGATGTGGAAAATGGCTCTGAGATGAATTTATCTACACCTCCCTTGACGCCAAAGCTTGCTTGGAACATTGGAGCTGTGTCTCACCACTGGTTTAAACCACCTTCATGGTCACTGGATTGGGTGATCAAAATTGACCATGTATCACGTGTTCTTTTCCCAATTGCTTTTTTCGTCTTTAATACTTTTTATTGGCCAATCCTTCTCACACGAATGCTATAGAAAAAAACTCGAAATTAATTCTTCCTTTTAGATGACGTTGAATGACGATTATTTTGAAAACATATAGCAAAAACACACGAAATTTGACTTCTTTTTATGCTGGAAGCTGCTCAACAAGAGCCTTATTACTGATTTTAGCACTTTTTAACACTTTTATGGTCAATGTGGTTCGTGCACCAAGAGCAACTTTTTGAGCTAGATGTATTTTTTAGATATTTTAATTAATCATTTTTATGGTGAGTTTTGTATGATTGAAGACCTTAAAAGGCTCAGTCAGTGTAATTTTAACTTATTTTTTTTTATCAAGTTACCCTTGTAATCAAATAACAATACCTTCTTCATTCAGTTTACTTTTCCAATATTCTTCGTATCGCTCATTAAAGGTTTTATTAGACGCTCACCATCTCAATAAAAATTATATGATCGGGTTCTTTGAGATCACGAGTATATTTTGGTATAAATTATAATTTCAGAGATTTTCATAAAAAGGACATGTATTATTTACAATCCCACGTTCTAGTTATTTCACAAAAATTTAATCGATATTTTATAGGCTTAAGTTTCACTGATATGAGAATACGATACTCGTCAGTATTCAATAATTTTTAAATTGGGTTAAAGACACTATCATAAACTTCATTTAATCCAAATGTGTTTAATTAAGTCAGTACGACTACCACTACTTAATACTTGCTGACGCACCCTTTCAACGAACAGTGAAGACATAGAACTCACGAGAGTGATATAGGAGGTTTAGGTACAAAAGCCGATCACCCTATGTCACAACCTGAAGTCTCTAAGAGAACATGTCAGGTTTGGTGACAATCGGTCCAGCGGTTTGACAGTTATAAGGGACAGACAAACAGTTTTGGTTAAACAATGGTTTATATTGTATAATACAACTCTCAGCAGAACTCGTACATTACTACAGTAAAATACGATCTTGACTGTCAAGAGTTGTTATTGGAGTTGGAGAAACATTCTTTTTTGTTTTTCGTTAGCCTCTTTAGACAAAGAAGTACTTCTCATGATATGAAAATGTGAAAAGGACTTGTGATAGTGGTTCAATGGGCTTCAATAAAAAATTAGGAAACCTTTCATCATTTAAATTAGTAAATTACTGAATCAATCTTAGAATGTATATTTGATATTAGTTTTATTTATAAAAATAAACCATAAAAAACTTCAAAGTAAGATAAATATTGATGAAACAGAAATATCTATAGATATCACAACCATATGTTTGGATTTCACTAGCAACTGCTTACAAATGTAAGAGAAAAAAAAAACTAAAGTTAACACGTCTTTTCTCACCTCAAATTCAATTTAAAGAGATATGTTTATGTTTACTAAGCAACTGCCGTATACACTATAATCTAGGGTTTACATAACATCGCAGCTTTTTAATATATTGTTCTGTAATACTACAGAAACCAAAAGCAGGATGACCGTGATACGCATGCACAAGTATCAGTTGGAAGTTTCTGTTTGCCGATGCTAGACGTTTGATATCTGATTTTTTAATACCTGTTTTCATTATGGCATTTTTTAATATTCCAAGTTTCTCTCCTGACTTTTCTTGTTCTCCCTTTCTTTGTTATACATTGAGAGCGGTTTACTCTTAGAATGCAATTTAAGGCTGCTCATACGATCTTTTGACTCTAAAGTAAAATTTATGTAGCCATATTTAAAGCAACTATGATGTAACAGGAAGATTATTTCTATTTTCGAAATACCTAAAGTAATAAATTTCAAATAACAATTACAGAAATTACAAGAAACAGTTACAGAACTTTAAGAGCTCGGTGTTCTGATGAATCTAGGTATTGAGCAAATATTGACTGTTGTCTTACAAATTAGTGGTCTACTTTTATTTATTTTAATGATGAATGAACTGACGTTGAAAGTATTATTAAAATATGACACTAAAGTTAATCACGCTTTAACATACAACGTAATTACCGTTTTTCAGTTTTTATGTCATGTGAGATTCCTTAAAAGTAATATTAATGTTTCTTCTTTAAAAGATAAAGAATATAAGACATTCGAATGATTTCATTTAATAATAATGATATACGGTTTCTGTCATTTGTATTGTCGTAACGTATTCTGTTGTTGAGCGGGTTATTTTGGATTATTTGGTAAATATAATGCCAAATCCACTCCACGTAACGATAACAAATTAATTAATTTATTCTATAACATTTGCTACAGACTACTTCCACTTTGACACGAGTTGTAGGCCTAAGTTCACTAACAATGTTTCAACTGAAACTCCGGAACTAATAGTATGCCTAACTCACAAATACAAAACTTACTTTCAGAGTGTTCTTGCTAATCGACTGAGTATCTGGATAAACATGATGACTCTCACTACCAACATTGATATGAATCACTCACTGATTATGGATTCTTTAGCTGACACACTTAAATTATTATTCTGAAAATCATTTAACATAGTAAGCCTTCTTCTTTCAAGAAGCATTTCGAGCATTCTATGTCGACAGCGAATGTCGCCTTGATTAATAGTAAAGATGTAACATTTTGCTATGCTAAGTTTCAATACGAACATCTGTATACAGTAAATGTTGGAAAATTACCAATTATCTTAGTGCAATAGCCTGTTAACTTGCATATGTTGCAAGGCACTGAATACTTTGTTTTTGTCTTTCAACCATGTATTTTAATAAGCTATTGTTTGTGTCGTTTTTTTCTAAACAATCATCTTATTTATTTATCGAACAGGTAAACTTAAACTTTTTGAAGTAAAATGACTTTATAAAGTCAGTAATAGATGATAAAGGTATTTTGCAAACGTGAAGATGTTCCTTTTTAGTTGATATGCTCTGTGATTTGAAATAATTTTAGTTATTAGCAATTGTCATATCACGAAAAATACACCAATATGTGTCGTAATATATCATAATGATATTTATGAATAAATGTTGCAATACGGTGTTAACGTGCATTGAATGAATAAACCAGTATTTAGTAGGTTTCTAGTTGAAGCTTCAATTTACAAAAGAAATTTCTTCTATGAGCTTTATGCCTATTTATGTCTAAGATCTCCTAATACCATTTATCAGGTTAACGATGAAAATGGCGGTAGTCATAGTAAGGTAATGTAAAAGTTATTTACAAATATTGGTGAATTAATGATGAAAATGGCGGTCGTCCGAGTGAAGTAATGAAAATGTAATTAACAAGAGTTAGTGAATTAATGATGTAAACGGTGGTAATTCGAGTGAAGTAATGAAAATGTAATTAACAGGAGTTAGTGAATTAATTATGTAAACGGTGGTAATTCGAGTGAAGTAATAAAAAAGTAATTAACAAAAGTTGGTGAAACTACTTACTACAAACAAATTAAAAAAACGCGTAATTGTAAATAGCGTTTATGGAAGTGATACCTTGCAGAAATAATAAATACTGTAATCAAATTTTGCATTTAATGGGCTTTTTTCACATTGATGGTGATTCTTAATCAAGTATTTTAAAAACGGGATGTGTGAATATCTTACATATGTGTAACTTATTACATATCACATAAAATGTATCCATGATTTTTTTAATAATTTACTTGTTAAAAGGTAATGATAATTTGTTCTGTTTTTGCATTTTTTACTTCACATTTTGCTCGTTGTGAAATTGTTGCTATTATGTTAAGCATATGTAGAACATTTGCTTAAAAGTACTAATAAAATCTTTACAAAGCAGTTTTCATTGAACTAAAATACAAACGTTGTTCTCCTATTTCATTCCTACAGTTAAAATATTTTATAAATAAGAATTACCATTTATAGCTCATTTACTTTCAGTACGAGTTAAGACACTCTCAAATTACAGTTGTTAAGTTTTAATTTCATAAATAGAATAACACCCTAATTAAAGTCAACATTATATATATAATTAAAGTGTTTACTTGAAATGTACATGTAATATGTGCTCAATATTCTTCATGAAATAGTTTCCCATATTGCTTCAACAAGCAAATGCTTCAGACATTTTTACACGTTGCATTAAGGCATTCATTAAATACATCACATATTTATATGCCTATCGAATAATGTGTGTATTTTTTCCTAGTTTTAAATAAGACGCACAGCAGAATTTTTAATTAATGGTTGTTGTTAAGCACAAAACTACACAATGGGCTATCTGTGCTCTGCCAACCACGGATATTGAAACCAGGGTTTTAAGTCCGCAGATATATCGCTGTGCCATTAATATATATATTAATGATTTCTTTGCTAATTTTTCTATAAGCTGTTTAATTATTTTTTTGGTATAATTGTAAAACAAGAGTAGCGTTCGTTATACACACCTGTAGTTGTTATTGTTATAGTTTGGTGCAAAACTACATAATGAGCTGTCTACGTTCTGTCTATCACGGGGAATTTGAGTCATGGATTGTAGCGATGTAAGTCCGTAACGGTAAACTTACCGCTGATCTACCTGGATAACCACTTCTCCGGTAATTCTTTTGGTTTTACTCGATTAAAATACTAACTGCAAAAGATACTAATTGTAGTTCAAGAAAATGAGATTACTATATTAACGACTGACATCTATGCCTCCTAGATAGCACCACAAAAGTTATTATTGGTTGATTTTTCAACCTTCAAAATGTGTGCGGACTTACAACACTAGAAATCTGGTTTTGATACCCGTGGGGAGGGGGGCAGAGTGTACCTTCATCATATTTTACACCAGTGTACCTTCATTGTGTTTTAGGAGCAAACATAATTAGATAAACTATTCTAATCTAGTTTACAAAATACAATTCAAGTTATCTTACTATTCTATCTGAAGCATAAGTTCACATTATGAAATGAATTAAAAACATCATTTAAATTTGGCTGTGTGTTGACAAGTGGTTACATCCAAGCTGCGGAAAAGAAAATCCAAGATTCGAGCCAAATATGCCACTGAACACTCGCCTCGCTTTCTGTTTTGGGGACGTTATAATTGTGCTATTCTGATGAGAGTAGTCTATAGATGGCAGGTTCTGCTTACTGGTTTCTTCGTCTAGCCGACAGTTCTGTATTAAGGATACCTATGCTAGAGCTTCCCTGTGGCTCAGCAGTAAGTCTGAAGGCTTGTAATACTGAATATCTGGTTTCAGTACTCATATGTGGCAGAGCAAAGACAGTCTGTTGTAGAGCTGTGTGTTTAAGAACAAACAAAGCTATGCCTGAACATAAGTCGTTTAGCCCAGGTTAAAATGTACCAAATACCCGTTCAAATGTGTACACTTAATTACACTGCTTCTTCTGATAATCAATTTATTGTGTATATATCGTATTGTTTCTTACTTGCTTTGATTTAACTTATCTTCATTCATTGGCATTATGGGAGTACAGGGCTAGCCCTTAACCCTATTCAAACTCATAATATTTTGGAAATAAGAAAAATAAGTCATATATGCATATTTTATTATTCACGCTTACAATACGAAAATAAAATAAACAGACTTAACTCTAAGATTTTCGTGTAGATTTTCTTTTAAATTCATTCAATATATCTGAAAAATCAAGGCCACGAAGTATATCACTTTCAATACACATTAAAAAAAGACAGTTCAGTCGTTTTTGAGTCGTTGTCGTGCTCAACTCATTTTTGATATTCTTCAGCTTTGAAAAAGACCTTTCACTTGAACAGTTGTATATCATGAGTGACAGATAAATCCGAAGAATAATTTCAACATTTAGAAAGGATGATTTGATATTTTTATTATGAATAAGGAGATACGTGAAATGAACATTACTGATATCACCATGATCATTCTTTTCTTCTAAAAATAATTTCACAACCTTGCTAAATTGAACAAGTTCGTTACTGAGACATCCTTCCAGATCAGCAGAATAAAGTTTCACTAATCTATCTGACATTTTCTGAATTTTATCCTCAATTACAGAAACTAAATCATCCAAGAAACCCAAATTTTCAGCCACATGAGAACAAGCCTCAATAATCTTTCCAAGTTCTTGCACAAGACGACCAATGATGGGTATGAACTTGAAAGTGATGAAGTGGTCACTTGGACTCTGTTGTACTTCTTTATCTTTGCCGTAATCTAATCTGACATTACTACGACGAACACGCTCGTGCTGTACACTATATTCTGATGTGCTCCTTTTTTCAATTCCTCATTGTTCAAAATCAACAAAACGACTTTGCAACGCTTGAACAAATTCCACTAATAATTTCAGTAGCGCGATAGCTGTATTGAGATCTACCTTGTGGTCTTTTAGTTGCTTGCTAATAACATCAAATCTTTCAAGAATGGTGTGCCACAGATCACTGAAAATCCCTGTTTCCAATTTACACATTATGTTCACAGAACATGATGCTGTATTTCTATTTTCTCTTTTCTTATCCTCATTAGTATATATATATCTTCAAGTACATCCATAATTTCAGCATAACCAGACTGCAATACATTAGTGGTATTTGCGTGAGCGGACCATCTAGTCTGTGACACTCCTTTGGCATCCTAAAGCCTCTGATTTTGAGCTTCTCTCTAAAAAGTTGCCAACAACCTGCTGATCTTGAAAAAAACGTTTAAAGCCTTTGCACGAAATCGAAAAACCTACTACTCGAACACAACAATCAACAGCAGCCTGGCCAACAAGATTTAACAAATGTGCAGAACATGGAATGAATACTGCCAGTGGGCATTTTTGTTTAACTTTACATCCCATGGTAACGTCCACTCATGTTGGCTGCATTGTCATAAGACTGGACACGACAGTTTCTATATCAATGCCGACCATTTCAAAGAAAGAAAAAAGCGCTGATGCTAACTGCTGACCAGTGTGATCACGATTATCTATAAAGGTTAGAAATCTTTCAACATGGCCACCAGCTTCCAAATATCTAACACAACAAGTGAGCTATTATCTACAGTAGAATCGATAGATATAGAAAAATATTTTGATGATTTTATCTTGGAAACAATAGTGCTAAGAATTAAATTACCAATTATTTTAATGAGCTCCTCAAAAGTGTTTGGTGACAGGTGATTTGTATATTTTCATTTGTTTTCATGTTTCTGTATATATTCTTCCAGCAAAGTGTCGTACTCTGCCGTAACTTCTATCATACCAAAAAAATTCCCATTTTTGGTTGAACCTACTTTTTCATCGTCACCACGGAAAGGAATCCCACATTCCCCAAGGAACATGATTACAGTTGCTACACTCTAAAATATTTTTCTCCAACAATTTGTTAATTCGTCAGCTTGTTTTACCAGATGCTTATCACTCCTACAAGTGCCTATCATAAGTTTTGCAAATTTTGTGATTGCATCACAATGAACTTTTGATTGTTCATGAATATCTAGAGAACGGTCGGCATTTTTCCAATCTTGGCCTAGATTCAATAGTTTATAATGAAAACAATAAACCTTACCAGTACTGGGTGAACAACATAACCAGCTTCGATCCATTTTTTCACCATTTGGTTGAGTACGATCAAACATTTATATAGTGCAAGAACGATTACTTTTGCTTGATTTGATGAAGTCACTACCCTTGATTTGTAACATATTTGGACCTCTATTTACCCAATAATTAATCACTTCAGAAGTAAGATGGAAAAGCCATAGACCAATGTCTAGTTCAAGTTCTGGAAGTTTTTGCTATACTTTAACTGACCCCGATTCTGTTTGAGGAGTTTCTTCTGAATCTGAGATTGAGTAACAACTGAACTTTCAGTTTTATCTTCATTATTAGATGACGATGTCTGTGACTGAGTAAAGTATTCATCAGTCGTTCTACATTTTTTGACAACTTCCTGATACTCTTTCTCTTTTTTCATGTACTAATTTTCTCTTTTGAACACCACTAAAATATTATCCTGGAGTTATGTGTCGATCATTCATTTCAGTAATGTATATAATAATACAAAAATCAATAATATCATAAAATAGAAAATACATAAAATATTCTATATGTTTTATATGTGTGTGTAGTGTGTATGTATGCTTGTGTGTCGCTGTACATGCTTGTATGTGTGTGTGTGTGTGTGTGTGCAGGTGTGTGCACCTTGCATATATATCATATATGTGTTTGTGTTGTGCAGCTGCATGTCTTCTATGTATATCTTTGCATAGATGTATCTAAGTATGTTCTTGTTTATGGATTTATATGCGTATGTGTACATGTGAGTGCTAGTGTATGTATATTGTGTGTATATATATATATATGTATGTATATTCATGTAAGTGCTTATATATGAATATTGTGCCGTTTGCACAGTTTGTAGGCGTGGATGGTCTATGGACCTTTGTACATTTGTAGATGAGTTTGATGATTTGGGGATGATTTGACGTCTGTCAACTTGTTGGTTACATTTTGGGAGCTTCCGAAGCAATGTTGCCAATCAGACAAGCTAAGACCATCGAGTGGTTTGGTTTGGCTCAAGCTGACGCCTGTATGTACTATTAAATTGACAACAATTACACTTGCTTTCTATATTTAATAATTTGTAATAATGTATATTCTATTTCAGGAAATTTAAAGAATGATAAAGCTCCTGGACCAGATAATATTTACCCAACGGTTTCGAAAGAGGTTAGGGATTATATATGTGAGTCTCTTGTTAATATTTTTTCTAAGTTCTTGAATAGTGGGCTAGTGCCAAAAGATTGAAAGATCTTTAATGTTATTCCTCTTTTCAAGTGAGGTAATAAAAATTGTCCCTTTAATTAGAGGCCTATTAATCTTACTCAGTGGTAAAAAATTTTTTGAAAAGTCTGATAAAAGACATTGTTTTTCAAAGTCAATTTACAAAGTTTAAAATTTTGTTGGATAGTCAGTATAGTTTTACTAGGGGAAACCTTGCCTTACTAATTTTTTGGGATTCTTTGAAGTCATTACTGCTTATGTAGATGAGGGTACGGGGTGGATTTTGTGTACCTAGATTTTCAGAAAACATTTGACAAGGTGTCACATAAAATGCTTGTTAAAAGTTATCTCTGTAAATGTAAGGGATAGGTTGGCCCATTGGACAGAAAACTGACTAGATGGAAGAAAGCAGAGAGTTGTTGTAAATGGAGCTCAGTCAAACTAGATTAATGCCACGAGTGGGGTACCTAAAGCCTCAGTGTTAAATCCTTTGCTATTTTTGATTTCCATCAATGACATAGAAGAAATAATGGTACATAGATTATTTAAGCTTGCTGATGATGTAAAGGTTTTTGGTGTTTCTCGCTATGGGAAGAATGCTACTGTTTTAAAAACGAATTGGATTATTTGGTGAGTTGAGCGAATAGATGATAGGTAGTTTTCAATTATAATAAATGCAATGCAATGTATGAAATATCACAATTTGAATTATGAGTATAATGTTGATAGGAATAACCTTAACAGTGTTATGGAAGAAAATGACCTTGGTGTTCTGATTCATCAGTCTCTTGAGCCATTCAAACAATGTGCTGTTGCTAGTGGCAGGGCAAATAGGATTTTAGGTTTTATTTAAAGAAATACTGAATATAAGTCTAAAGATATTATAATATCATTATATAGGTTATTTGTTAGGTCACATTTGGAGTATTGTGTTCAGTCTTGGGCTCCTTACCTCAGAAAGAACATTTAATTGTTGGAAAGAGTTCAAAAGATAACTACTAGGAAAATACCTTGGATGGAAAGGATGTCTTACGAGAATAGGTTAATATCTCTAAACATGTTTTCTCTTGAAAAAAGAAGAGTTAGAAGAAACCTGATTAAGGTGTTTAAGATTGTTAAAGGAAGTGATAGTGTTTATGTATCATCTTTTTTTCGTATTTAATCGTGAAAATGGTAAGTCTAGAGAGTACAAATATAAATTTTCGTAGATAGGAGTCATTTTTAACTAAAACATCCTTTTTTTTTGTAACAGAGTGTTTGGTATCTGGAACGGGTTGCTTTCAAATGTGGTAGTTGTATTTAATTTAACGGAGTTTTAGGAAAAGCTTGATAAATATTTGAATGATAAGGGCTGGCTTTGACTTTTTTAGTGTCCAATTAAATTTAGTTGATAGAACGGTCTAGATAGTCCAGATTTCACTCGTTATCCTTTAATGTTAAGTTATACAGCACAAAATGTACATTGGATGAATCGAACTACGCTCTTTATATTTTAAAAAGGTGTAAGTTATTAGGAATGTTATTTCCATTGGCTTATAACAAGCTGTTTCGTTTTCGTAAGCTTGATTTTTGCGCACGTTTGTATCCCCCGATGGTCAATAGTAAGATTCTAGGCTTACAATTCTAAAATCCGGATTTCGATTGCCCGCGGTGGACAGAGCGCGGGCAGTCAGTTGTGTAACCCTGCGCTTAACAACCACCAAACACAACAATTCTTCGTATTCACTGCTTTTTTGGAAAAATATATTTTAAATATTTGTTACTTAACCGAATTAATTAAAATAATATTAATTATATATCGCTCTACAGTTGTAATAGGCATTTTATAGATAATACAGACAGTCTAAATTTGATTATATTTCATTATAAAAACATTATTGCTTAGAATGATGAAATGTTAAATAAGATATATAAAATTATATTTCTTCGTATTTTCGTGATTACCTATTTTACGATACTGTCATTGCCATGGCCCTCTACCGCTAGCATAAAAAGTTAACTTGAGTATGGTAATGTGTGTTTTAACTTTAAAGTAATTCATTAAATTAGCCTTTAGGTAGAAACAAAGTGGCGTAGAAAAATTATTTCAGCAACTCAGGGATATACTATTATTGCTAAAGTAATGCCACCAAATTTACGGAAGCCATGTGCACATTGTATTTTGTGTGTTAAACTTTTCAAGTGGTTTCCAGTTGTTTTCATTACTGCCATTATCGCTTGGTCGTACTACGCCTACGTGATTCAGTTATGTTTCCGTAAGTTGCAAGATGGTTTATTTTATGTTATGCTATTACTAATTTACAAGGCCTAATCCTTATATTATCATAAATTCTAGGTATGATATTCTGAAGTTAATAAAAAGGCTAGGTCTGCGTGTTCAGTTGAGCTACCAGTGTGTACCTAAATTTTAAAATAAGTAACATTTTAACCATTTCAGTATTTTATTTATGTAGCTGAACTATACCTGATACTGTGAATGTGATAGTGATATTATTATATGTTTTTATTTAATGGATTGTTTTCTTTTTTTTTACTTTTAATTACAAATTTCATTTTACGTCTTGTATATAAAAAATAAAAATAGATGTCCAAGTACTGACCCCTGAGTCACTGCACTGCCACTAGTACTACAAGTAGTAGTAGTAACAAGGACCCATATTTACAGGAATTCATTATTAACAACCTTTTGCTTTCTGTCAATATCATCAAACTATTCTACAATCCAGTAAACTAGGCTTTCTCCAACCCCTTCCATGTGGCATGTTATCAGAGGTTCTTTTAATTTTATAAAATCTAGATACACAAAGTCCACACTTTTTCATCATCCAGACAAAAAGGTAACATCCACAAAAAAAAAATTAACAATTTTAGTAAAACAAATCTTCCTTTAGTGTTTCTACATATGTCATTTTTTATTTTATTTTATTTCATTAAATGATTTTGCAAAGCTGCTTTTATCACAAGAATTGTTGCCACTACAAAGGATGAGTATCAAGTCTATTTCAAGGCAAATCCTATCACCACCTTTAAAAATAGCAATTGCATTAGTAAATCTCCAATATAATAATGCTTGGAGATGGCTTGAATGGATAATGAATAAAAACTTTAATATATGTTTAACATAACAGCAAATGTACAACGTTTTGACAAGGTTCTGTCATCATCAGGTACAAGTACTTTACACTGACACAGATGTATATATATATATATATATATATATA